AAGCGGGAGGTGGGGGAGGAGAGAGACAGAAAGCGGGAGGTGGGGGAGGAGAGAGACAGAAAGCGGGAGGTGGGGGAGGAGAGAGACAGAAAGCGGGAGGTGGGGGATAAGAGCGCTGGGGGGGGAAGCATACTGGGGGAATAGAGAGTGGTGGGGGGGTAGAGAAGGAGAGCAGGAGGGGGATGCGAGCGGGCGGGAGGGGGGGGGGAGAGAGCAGGAGGTGGTGGAGGCAGTGCAGGAGAAGGGGAAAGACAGAGCGAGTATGGGAGAGGGATAGAGAGAGTGGGAATGAGGGAGACAGTTAACGCATCGTGCCAATGGGTTTCCAACAGAACAGGCACCCACTACCTGAAATCTGATGATGCCACCACTGAACATGTCTGCTTCTCCTCGCCCTTTCAGCATTGTGAAGGAAGCAGACCCACCACAATCACCTGCTGTACTCTTCAGGTTGCCCCCCAACCACCTCCCCCTGCCAGGCCGTTGTGAACCTTGGGTTGCTCAACTCCAAGTCTGCTCCTTGCTGCCATGCTCTCGCCTCAGCCTGCGACCAGCTGGGAGCGCAGTGCCCCACATTCCCACTTGGACACTGGCTGGTCAGTGTTTTATGGGATTTCTGGGAGCTCAGTCCTTCCGAGAGGATCAGGAGCACAGGGATCGAGCCTCATCCCACTGCCAAGGAGCTCGGTCTTACCTTCTGCACCACGTTCTCCTTCTGTATCTGGCTCTGGCGGAGTTTCTTCAGCAGCACCAGCCTGGCTTCCTCCAACCGCAACTCATCCCGAAGCTGCTTGATGATCATCTGCCGCTCCTCGGGGCCCTTGCCCTGGCGATAGAGAGAGAAGGCGTGACAGGCCTCAGGACCACAGCTCGCCACAACCCCTCCGACAGCAGCTTCCAAACCTGTGACCTCTACCCCCTAGAAGGTCAAGGGCAGCAGATACAGGGGAACACCAGCCCCCTGCAAGTTCCCCTCCGAGCCCCCCCCAACGCAGATACCATCCCAACTTGGAAATATATCAGCCATTCCTCCTTCAGGGTCAAAATCCCGGAACTCCCTCCCTAACGGCACTGTGTCCCTACACCATATGGGGAGAGCTGAAGTGGGCAATTCGGGATGGATGATAAGCGCTGGGCCCAGCCAGCAACATCCACATTCAGTGAATTAATTTTACAACAAAAAATTTTGTGGTGGAATGCAGTTCAATTAGCAATCGTTGAGGGTTAACTAAAGATATTAAGGGATATGGTAAAGGAGAGGATGGAGTTAAGTCACGAATCAGCTAGAATACTATTAAATGGCAGAACAGTCCTGAGGGGCTGAATGATCCTCCTGATCCTATGTAACAGGCTCAAAGAGGGGCTGATTAGACCTTCTACTGTCTGTGTAACAGGCTCAAGGAAGGGGGTGCTGAATGGCCTCCTGTTCC